AACAGATTTGTGTAACCAAATAAATTCTGGCGTGGATAAGGTATTTACATCAGTGAGTGGGTTATCCAAAATATGTGCCTTTATTATATTCTTGATCCTTAAATACACAAACAGATCTCTAGCTTCCAAATCTAATTCCTTTTGAAGATCGGGAAATAGCTTTACTTGTGGCCCATTCATTAAATTGCCTATTTGTCTTACTCCTTTCTCTTGCCATCTTCTCATCTGAAGGTCCAAAGAAAGGGTCACTAATGCCATTATTGGTGCAGCTCTAAACAGCAGATTTGAGTTTATTACATATGGACACCATCTTTCCATATTCTTAACAAGGGTTTTGTTCTTTGTAACATAGATTTAAAAGGAGTCCGGTGAACCGAACATGTCCATAGATAATGTGTTATGTTATTTGCATCTAAACACGTATTTTCGAGTGTTGGGTATTGAATGGCTTTCCTAAATGTCAGTAATCTAATCCCTTCTGCTTGGAAGGATGCTCTATAATATGTTTTAATGTCTGGCATCCCCAGACCGCCTTTTACATATGAAAGACCTGAGCTCCCTCGTGCCACTCAAGGGGGTTTCCTCCTCCAAATATGAGCATTTATGGTACCCTGAATTTGCTTAAGTAATTTGTTGGAAAGTGCTATGTAATGTTCTAAAAAGATACAATATGTGAGGTAATATCCCCATTTTAATGAGATTTATATGGCCCAACCATGAAATCTCCAAAACCTCCCATTTTGCCATTGTGTTTTTAATTTGTTGAAGCATTGGATAGTGATTTACTTTAGCTAATGTTTTGGTTGCTTTAGTGAGTTTAACTCCCAGATATTTTATAAATGAGGTGCACCATTCAAAATTATATTTTGACTTCAGTTTATCTATCAGGCTTTGTTGAAATTTAATAGGTAACGTCTGTGTTTTAGTTACATTATTTTTATAATACCGATACCTGCCCATACTCTATTAGCAGTTTAGTCAGTTATGGTAGGGAGAGCTCCGGATCTTTAATAAAAAGCAGAATATCATCCGCAAACAGCACCATTTTTTTAATGCCCCCTGGCGTAATCAAGCCTTTTATGCTAGTGTTTAATAATTCTTACTACGGGTTCCATACATTTAATGAAAATAAGGGGAGAAAGGGGACAACCTTGGCGAGTACCATTACATATTCTTATTTTGTTCGGAAAAAAACCCAGTGTTAAACACTTTTGCAGACGGATTTTGATATAGTGCTAATATGCTGGTTCGAAAAGCCAATGGAAAACCCATTTTAGTAAGCGTAAGTGACATATACCCCCAATGCAGGCGGTTGAAAGCTTTTTCAGCATCTAATACTAAAATTAAGCCTTCTTGTGATGAAGTGTTTGCCAATTCCACCAGATTCACAAAATGTCTAGTGTTATCCCCTATCTGTCTCCCAGGTATAAACCCTGCTTTCTCTTCCGAAATAAGGTCTGGAAGGAGGTATTTAAGTCGTGAAGCTAATAGCATAGAGCTTAATATCCGTATTAAGTAGGGATATCGGTCTCAAATTTGCACTCTGTATTGGTGATTTATTAGGTTTGGGTAAAGCCACAATATGTGATTCCAGCATTTATTGGGGAATGGCACCAGTTTCTTTTATATAGTTAAAAAGCTTAGTAAGGACTGGGGTCAATTGTTTTTTTAATTTTATGTAGTAATAATTTGAGAACCCATCAGGCCCAGGAGCCTTATGCTTAGAAAGGGAGTTTATCGCTATTACTACCTCTTCCTCCTCAAATGGATTTTTGAGAAAGGAGCATTGAGATGATGTTAGCCTGGGTAGAGGAACCCTCTCTAGAAAGGTATGTATGTCCTCCTCAGTTGGTTAATGTGTATTAGTATCTTTCTCTAATTGATAGAGCGTTGAATAGTAAGTTGCCAATTCATTTGTAATATCCTGTGGATTATATAATTGATCACCCCTTTTAAAAACTATGTAAGGGATTTTGGATTGTAATTTTTTTTTGTTTAACTTTACTGGCTAAGAGTCTGCCAGCTTTATTGCCCATAACAAAATATGATTGATTTAATTGTCTCATATGTTTCCCTGTTTCCGAAAGTTGTAAATCATGTAAGGCTGACCGAAGCGTCATCAGTTGTGAATGTGAAAATGAGGTAGGAACAGCTTTGTGTACTGCCTCCACCGTGGTCAATTCCTGTTCTAATTTGCTCATTTCCTGTAAACGTGATCTCTTTACCCGTGCCCCTTCCTGTATTAACATACCTCTTATAACTGCCTTATAGGCTAGCCATTGGGTAATAACATTAGTCTGGCATTTAACATGATTTCTAAAAAACAACTCCACCTGAGATTGCAGCTTTGGGAGGTACTCATTGGCATCTAATAGGCTGTCATTTAAACGCCATACACATTTCCCCTTTACTGAAAATGGCACCTTTATCTTAATGCTTAAAGGCGCGTGGTCTGATCACGTTATTGGGCCTATTTGTGCGCTAATTGCGAAGGGCAGGGTTTTAATGTCCAACAGACATAGATCTATTCTAGTAAAAGTCATATGTACTGTTGAGTAGTAGGTGAAATCTCTCACAAGGATAAAGATTGCGCCATAGATCATAATAGTCAAATTCATGCAGCAGGGTCTTGAAATATTGACCAAGGTGGACCGATAGCTGTTTCGGTAGTTTATCCTCTACTCTTTTAATATCAAAAGAAGGATCTGGGACACAATTGAAATCACCGCAAATAAAATACCTGTCCTGTCTTATATTGTTCTATCTTTCGGAACGCCTTGGTGAGAAACGATTTTTGCGCGTCATTTGTCGCATACAATGAAACTATATTTACTGATAGTCCATTTAATAATCCAACCAAAATCAGCAATCTCCCATCTTTTCTAGCATATTGTTTGTCAGGAATAAATGGCCAGTCACTATGAAAATAAATCGATACCCCTTTAGTTTGAGTCGTGAACATAGCATGATAGTTTTGGGGGTAATGTTTAATATTAAATTTAGGTGGGTCCTTAGCACAGAAATGTGTCTCTTGAAGACATACCACTGCTGCTTTTGATTTCAACATTTCATGTTCTAACATTCTGCGTTTATGAAGTCTGTTTAGGCCTTTAACATTTAAAGTGAGTATAATTAAATAATTATCCATGCTCCCAATTCAATTGTTCCTCACTACACAATATACAATATGCGAATGCAAATGCAAATACGTAATATTGTTGTTGGTTCTCTAAGTAGTGGAGTGGCCCAGGGAAAGAAAAAATAAACCCAAAAAGAATAGGGGAAAGGAACAACTTAGGTATATACATAGTGCCATAATATTCCCTAGCGCTCTACCTGAATGAAATGTAAGCGGGTAATACATTCCCGACCTACCTCTCACCCAAGGGACGTGTCTGCTGACTAATCAAAGTGCATGCAATCTATAATTGTTTAAGATCACCATTCCATTACCTCTTTAATTATACAAAGTAACAACATAGCAGATTAAACCAAGAGCTATAGTGCGTGACAGTATATTACTTAGTGTTTGTTTTTTGTATTTTTGCAATGGATAAATTAATATTTTGTCAATAAGTTGCTTTCCAAATGTAACCCTTATCATGGCTTCCTAGCTTACCAATTAATAGATACATCTGTTAGCTCTTGGTCATTTAGATCTTCACCTACCTTAATTTTATTAATAGCTATTCGCCCAGCCCCTGTCCCAATGCCTAATTTCTTTTTCCCTTTAATAAATAAACTCTTTTCAAATGCATTCATTGTAATAGTGCTGTAACCTAAGAGAGTATATATAATCCGTATACAATTCATATTCAATCCCTACCTAATATGGCCTAATAATCATCGTAAACAGCGCAATCAATATATCTCAGTACTTCACTGGAATCTTGCTGATGCTTCTTAAGTTGTTTACAGTCGGCAATGTTGTAACAATCGCTTACATTCAATAGGAATGATGTACTAAATACCCCGAACAGACCTTATATATTTTAGTTATAACTGGGATACTAAATATTATGAGTGTTATACTTAACCCATATTAAGCTCATGGTTATGGTATAAGCATTAAGCTTATGGTTCAAAATAGAGTAGATGAAGTAGATAAAACAGGTAGGTTGTCTAATATTTACCCAGTTTTAACATAGTATTTACACATTATTTACACATCATTCCATTATTTACACCTTATTAACAATGTTAACGTTCTATATTGCTATCATAATAAATTCACTGTATACTCAAAGAGTTATATATATATATATATATATATATATATATATATTTTGGTTTTGATATACTCATACTCATATACTGATATACTCATACTCACAACCCTGGATACCTGAAAGTTTGATTCTATACATTCCCAAGCTGTTAACTTTATGGGGTCCAAATCCAAAGTCAGTAGGCCAAAGTCCAGATTGTGATTAGCAGCTCACTTTTAATTCCTACTTCCCCCTTGGTGATCCTGCCGTCTGCCATTCTGCTTGCAAACAGTCCAAAGCTGCACCTAACGTGCCACTCGCAGTCTCTATAGGGATTAAGTTCCACTCTTTCAACAGCCTCATACCTTCCTCCGGTTCGTTTGCGGTGTGCGTTCTCCCGTTCCTCCAAATGAGAAGTTTAGTTGGGAAGCCCCATCGGTAATGGATGACATTATATCTGAGGGTCTTAGTAACGTTGATAAATTCTCTTCTATTGTTCATAGTTGATGCTGAGAGATCGGGATAAAGTTGTATGCTGGACTATGGTTCAGGTAAGGTTGGTATATTCCTTGTCACTTTAAGCAACGCTTCTTTTGATTTGTAAAATTGGAAGTGTGCTATTACATCACACAGTAGCTCAGAGCCCACTCTCTGTGGTTTCGGTAAGCGATGAGTTTGATCCATAAGCCAATCTGGCTCAGCGAGTTCTGGAACCAATGACCTGCATAGTGTCACTAAGAATCCTGAGAGTTGATCTTTCAAAATACTCTCCAGTACTCCACGAAACCGGACGTTACTCCACCTTGAGCGGTCCTCCAGATCCGCCAATTTCCTCTTTAGTAACTTGCATTCATCGGTATGGGAAGCTATACTCTCCGCTAGTTTGTTCTGTGCATGGCAGATTTTATCCGAGCGAGCTTCTAAACTATTGGTTCTTTCACCCATCTCAGCCATCTCCTTCTTGATCTCATTAGTCACCTCTTTCAGATCAGACTGCATGATAATTTTAAAGCTCTGCAGCATAGCGTACAGTTTTGTCTATGAAACAGGGTCAACTGTATACTGACTGGTCTCACTCTCTTGTATCAATGTAGAAGTTTGAAAAGAGTCTACCTCGTCGTCTTCTTGCGTTGTCAGTAGGCGGTCTTTTTTGACATGGCGGAGTTGATCGGTCAGTTTGGCTTGCTTAGCCGGAGCCATGAGGCTAAATTACAGTGTGTTTCGATTAGAAACAGTTAAAAAGCGGTTAACTGTTATCGGGTAGCAGGTAGCGGGTAGGGAACTGCTGCTACCAAACCACGCTACTGGGTTGCTGACAAGCCAGGAGCTCTCATTCTATGCGCCCGCTCGCATTCAACAAACGCGCACACCTCGACAGACACGCCCCCCGCATTTTTCAAAATAAACTATTATAACAAATCTTTTAAAGCATTCTTATGCTACAGTACTGTTACGTTTATTATTAATTCAGCAAACAGCATCTTACAGAATGTACAAAATAGTGGCATGTAGACATCCTTATTTGGACTTTTACAGCAATGGTATTGGCATGGCTGTGGTTAGGACTTATTTTTGAGAAAAGTTGCATGTGTGTGTGCTGCTTGCACAAGATGGCAGGATATTGGATTGTAAAGGAGCAAATAAAATACCCATTAATCCAAGGGACAGTCTATGCGCGCTATAGATTTTGGACTTTGAAAAAGTCAATTTATAAACTGAAATGCTTGTGAGTTTTGTATATAATGTAAGCTGCAGCTTGCTAGATAAAAAGCAGCTAGAAATAATTACTGCTATATATACATTATAAAAATATTAATTTAGTGCAAAGCCATTGCTATGCTGCAGAGGCAGTATTACAGCTTCAGAACAACTATAAATTAGACAAATTTATGAAAATGTTACCATTTTGAAATAAACTAACATTTACTGGTAAAAATAAACATGATTGTTCTAAGCCTCTGCATAGAGTACCCTCCAAATAGCTACCCTAAGTGGTTTATAAGCACAGTGTCATGTCAATATCATTGCAGCTCATGGACTGCCTGCTGGGTTAGTTATGTAAAATGAGGAATATCTTTCCTATTTTCTCCTTTGCTATCCATGATCCATTACACTTGTGTATGTGGAATGACCTTACACATTCCATGTTCCCCCTAGTTGTGTAGAGAACATAAGATGTTGAAAGACTGCACATAACTCAGTTCACATCTTGTTCATCCTATCTGATGAATAGAACTTGCTGTTGGGTTTAGTGGCTGTCAGGAAGACAGCCACTAGAAGCTGGATTAACCCTCAAAGTAAACATAGCAGTTTCTCTGAGGGTTAAAACTACGGGGACCTGGCACCCAGACCACTTCATTGAGCTGAAGTGGTCTAGGTGCCTATAGTGGTCCTTTTAATAATAAGATTAGAAAGTTCCTCAATGTGATAAGGTACTTCACAACAGTTGTATAGTACCAGATATATATCATGACATACTGTGTGGACCATATTGCAGTGCACATATCCTCCATGTAAAAGTAAAGTAAAGATGGAAATTAAAATCAATAACAAAACTAAACTAAATTGACAGTGATTTGCTGAATTACATTTGAACTATCTGGGCTTTGACGCATGTAGCCCTTTTGCGTATATGGACAATCAACAATGTAAAGGTTCACCTGTACAAAAGGCTTTTCTTACAACGTTGGGGAGACAACCTTCATTGGCACGCTTTCAGGGATAGTGAAAGGTAATATTAATAAAAATCCAATAAACTTCATCCCAAACTGAAAGAAACTTGAGGCATTTTGGATATTAAAACATCATACTCAATGTCCAGCAGAATTAATCTAACATGGAATATCTGTACTTTTATTTGTCATTAATTGGTATATTATTCTGCTATAAGGTCAAGACTGTAGTTAAAATTGATTACTCAGTTTTAATTGCTTTTTCTGGCTTCTACAACTTAATTAATTGTAAAATAATAATCATTGTGTCAGTTATAAGTCAAGCTGTGTCTGATATTAAAGTTCTATTCATTTTGCTAATTATGTAGATGAAGCGTATAAAATGGAAAACGTAATCAGCTTGTACCCATGTACCCTGGTCTACATGTAGAATATAGTGTCTTTCAGTGTATAATGTGTACATGGCACATCAAAGGAAATATCCACCGATTGACCAGAGATAGTAACTTGGTATCCAATAAAATACTACAAAATAATTATTAATATTATTACTTATGAAGCACCAACAAGTTCTGCACTGCTGTACAAAAGGTGGACTAACAAACAACTACTTACAACAAGACAAGTTGGATGTGCAAGAATAGAAGGTGCTGAAAGTCCTGATCAAACAAGCTTACATTTGAAGGAGAGTGAAGTAGAATAACACAAGAGGTCAGGTTAAGATGCATTTCATGTAATGGGAAACTAGGTTGCCAGAAGAGTTTATACTGAAGCATAGGTTTTTAGATGACACGGTTGCAGAAGAGAAAGTGTGTTAGTGAGGTGTGGGGAGGGAAAGCTGTTAACAGTTTAAATGCTTTGCCTTCTTGAAGTGAGTTTTCAGTGTATTTCTTGAGGGAATGAAGACTGAGTGAGAGTCTTATGTAGCTGAGAAGGGAGTTCTGTGTAGCCCTAAAGAAGTCATGAAGGTGAGAGTCAGAGGTGTGAGTACTAACAGAGGATAGACACAGGTCTTTGGCAGAGTGTAGGGTCATGAATTGGACATACTTGTGTATTAATAGAAATAGGTAGACAAGAGCAATGTTTTTAAGAGATTCGCAAGCAAGGAATTTCACATTGAACCTTATGGTAAGTCAAGGTAAGGCTTTCCGAAAACCAGTCAGTATCTGGTGTGACCACCATTTGCCACATCTCCTTTGCATAGAGTTGATCAGGTTGTTGATTGTGGCCTGTGGAATGTTGGTCCACTCCTCTTCAATGGCTGTGCGAAGTTGCTGGATATTGGCAGGACCTGGAACACGCTGTCGTATATGCCGATCCAGAGCATCCCAAACATGCTCAATGGGTGACATGTCTGGTGAGTATCTGGCGGCCATGCAAGAACTGGGATGTTTTCAGCTTCTAGGAATTACGTACAGATCCTTGCAAAATGGTGCTGTGCATTATCATGCTGAAACAAGAGATGATGGTCATGTATGAATGGCACAACAATGGGACTCAGGATCTTATCACGGTATCTCTGTGCATTCAAAATACCATCAATAAAATGCACCTGTGTTCATTGTCCGTAACATACGCCTGCCCATACCATAGCCCCACCGCCACCATGGGCCACTTGATCCACAACGTTGACATCAGCAAACCACTCAGCCACACAATGCCATACACACAGTCTGCCATCTGCCATGTACAGTGAAAAGCAGGATTTATTAATGAAGAGAACAGCTCTCCAAAGTGCCAGATACCATCAAATGTGAGCATTTGCCCACTCAAATCGGTTACGTCGACAAACTGCAGTCAGGTTGAGACCCAGATGGGGATACAAATAAGAGAGTTTCTGACAGTCTGTGCAAAAATTCTTTGGTTATGCAAATGATTTCAGCTAATGTAAAATCGGGGCAAAAACAAAAGTGGTGCGTATATATTTTTGTTCAGTGTATATATTATTATTATTATGTCATTATTTATATAGCGCCATCAAATTCTGCAGCGCTTTACAATGGGTGGACGAACAGACATGTAGTTGTAACCAGACAAGTTGGACACACAGAAACAGAGGGGTTGAGGGCCCTGCTCAATGAGCTTACATGCTAGAGGGAGTTGGGTAAAGTGACACAAAAATGTAAGAATAGTATTAGACTAGTGACAGTTGCAAAAGATGAACCTGTCGAGAGCTATTAATTAATTGATACGCTTTTATGAAGAAGTGAGTTTTTAATGATTTTTTGAAGGAGTGGAAACTGGGTGAGCATCTAACGGAGGAGAGAAGCGAGTTCCACAGGAACGGTGCAGCCGTCGAGAAGTCTTGAAGGCGAGCATCAGATGTGGGAGTACGGACAGAAGATAGACTTAAGTCTTCAGCATATCGTAAGGGCCTAGATAGGACATACTTATGTATTAGGGAGGATCAGCATTATGTAGAGATTTGAAAGCAAGAACCAGAATTTTAAATTGAGCCCTATATCTTATAGGAAGCCAATGTAGGGACTGACAGAAGGGTGAGGCGTGGGAGGTGCGGGCGAACAGGAAGATGAGCCTCGCCGCCACATTCATTATGGACTGTAACGGCGCAAGTTGGGAGCACGTAAGACCACTGAGAAGCGGATTACAGTAGTCAAGGCGAGAAAGGACAGTGGACTGGACCAGCACCTTAGTCGCATCTGGCGTTAAGGAGGGTCGGATGCACGCAATATTTTTGAGATGGAAATGACCTGATTTGGCGATAGACTGAACACGAGGCTTGAAGGAGAGGTCGGAGTCAAAAAGAACACCTAGGCAGTGAGCCTGCGTGGTGGAGCTGATGGTATCTGATGGTAGTCATTCAGATTTATTCCCAGTTTGCTGGGTGTTCAGGGGCCTTGTATGCTACAGACCACGCTCTCCCTGGTCTCTAGCCAGCAAATGCACTTGGAAGATGCCCGCGCATGTGCAGTTTGTGTCTTACAGGCCCATTTAAATAAAACTATTACAATCTCTAAGATTTTGAAAGCATTGTTTAGTGAATAAGCGAGTGCGCTGGATTCTGTATTTTGTATATTTTGGCCCCAGCAGCACCCTATAATGTATGCATGTTTAGGTGAGTGCAGCCCTCTTGGTTTTGTTTGTATATTTGGGAGTCTAGGCCAGCTCCTTGGTTTTGCACCCTTCCCTGTCACAGGTGCCTCATTCCAGGACCCTATTTAGCCTTGACTTGCAGAGAGTCCCAGTAAGGAAGTATTTCCCAAGTAAGTGGATCAATCTCATAAGGGAAAGCATTAGGCTGCTAGAGTAGGACCTGCCAAGAATGGGGTACATTGATATTGTGGC